AAGTAAAAAAAAAAAAAAAGACATATATTATTGTTTATAATCTGCTTTATTCAGCCAAACCTTTCCCCAGCAGCCCTGTGGATTGCTGCTTAAATCCCTCGGTGCCTTTAACTACTGCTACAGAAAAAAAAAAAAAAAAAAATTTTAAATTTGCTTTCACCCAAAAGGGTGTCAACTCTACTCCAGGAAATCACTTTAATTGAGAAGCATTAAATGTTAAAATGATTAAAAAAAAAAAAGAGAAAGCCAACACACCGGTGCTCGTGGAGGGGTTTGGACCCCCCAGAATGGTTTTTCCATCTCACCTGCTGTTGGTGGTATGGGCAGGGGACGGTGGTGGGTGACCGCGGGCACCCACCCCCGGCATGTTGTAGCCAAAAAGCTGCAGCATGTGGCAGGGCTGGAGATACCCACCCCAAACCCACCCACCTCTCCATCCCTGCCAAAAGACAGCTAACCGGTGTCACATCCATCCAGGGATGCCAGCTCCTCCATCCCACCAAAAAAATCCCAATCCCAGAGATCCAACAGTGGTGGAAGAGGTGATGCTGATGGTGGTCGCTGCCGTCCCATTAAGGAAAAAAAATTCCCAAAGGCAGCAGTTGCTAAAGAGCATCCCGAGTTTATTCGACATCGCTTGCTCTCGAGGCGAGGGGGTGACCATACACGTCTCATGCCAACGGACAGGAGGCAGGGTACAAAAGCAACGCCTCGGGGGGAGGGTGAGGTCCTTTCTCCCCAAAGACATGGCAATAAATAAGGTTTTATTCTTTCAATTTTTTTTTATTATTATTTTTGGTGTGGGGTTTTTTGTTTTGTTTTGTTTTTTGCCCCCAGCAAACAAGACTCTCACTTTCTGGAACTGTACAAAATTTACACAGTGAAGGGAGCGGGGCTGGGGGGGGGGTTTGTCTTTGTCAAAGGGGGATGGAGAGCAGCGGGCAGCGGGCACAGCCCCCTCGTCCCCCTCCACCCGCGGTGCCCGGCGAGGCCGGGGGCTTGGCACAAAGCAGCACCCAAGGGGGAGCCGAGGGGGTGGGGGCACATGGGTGCAGCTGGGGCGATTCCTGCCGCACCAACACACCCAGCTGGGG